TTCACTGATTGCTTTTTGTATCAGGAACATATCCTTATTTCCTTTTCAACTACATATCAAAAATCACCATCACTTTTTGCAAAGGTCCATAGTTTAAATCACTATCACTTTTGTTCTCTTGTCTCTGGAGTATCGAACCTAGGGCTGAAAGCAAACACTGTCAGAAGTGATACACCGTCTTCCGGCTGAGTCATTCGTTAGATGGTTTGCCTGTACCACAAAGGTTAGCGACAATCTTCTGAAAGCCTAGTACGTCCCAGCAAGGCTGCTAATTTTGGGAAGAAAGTTCTCCTGTCCACAGCGTGTGAATAATATAAAAGCTCTGCCTAGGTCCCTCCTATTGTATGGCATATCATGACGAATGTCAGGTTGCGCCAGGCTTCGGCACGAGGTCTCCGGTTGATTACGGGAACGAATAACCGCTTGAAAATCCAGGAAATTACGAAGCCCCCTTTGTAACCTGTACAGACACGTGCAAGCAGGACGAGTACTGCGGCTGCGGCGCTCTTTGCTTGAAGCACGTTTTCTTAAGGTAAAACGGCTTAGGGCGAGAGAAAGCTCTTCGATCCGGCTATTGTTTTGTGTGTTGCATGAAGGGGTGTGGAGCAAAAAAGTGTTTGCTAATCGGAGACCTGAGGTCTCCCGTAGGTCTCCGCCGGAGACGTACAGCAAATTTTTCATTGTCATAATTTTTCAAAGATTTTTCAAACACTTCTTCTTCCCTTGTTTTGCAGCTTCAAGCCAATTTGGTTGATGTTCGTTGTCTATTTGCTAAGAAAAACCGGTTTATATGGATATTGTATAATTCGCTGAATGGCCCGCGCAAACGCCCGCATGAAAGAAACATCGAATCCGTATTGGAGCACGTTTCTGAACGGTTACAGAGTGCGTATAGAGTTAAATAATGAGAATTCGCCTTCCTCGGCGATTAGCCAATGAGCACGCATCAAACTTGACAAAAAAAAATACGGAGGAACTACGTGCAAAATGTTTGAGAAGGAGTCGGACCTATGGGAAAATTCACATTTTCAATTAGCACAGAATAACATTTTTATTTCTTGTAAAACAACACATTGCGCAATAACAAGATCACAAGCACTTCTTCCCTTCCTTGCTAAGTCCCAATGCATTCTAACTTAAAGAAAGTAACGCGCACCAAACAAAAGCGCGTCGTACTTGTTCCGTTTGCATTCGTTCCTACACGTTAGAGGGCTCGTAATTTGCTGAATTCAAGAGAGTATTCGTTCCAAGAAGAAGGCCATCATTCGGCTTCAGCCATTGCAGCGAAGGACCATCACGTTTAACAACTGCTAATCTTCAATACCAGCGGCTGATGAGCGGATTTACATACTTTCGACGGACATTCCGAGAAAGTCACTCGTTAAGGGAAGTCTTTCAACAAATTTTGGGCATTCCATAAAAAGATAAAAATTGGTGCTGGTTGGTGGGCTGGGATGCGAAGAAGAGAAATACAGGATCAAAAAGCTTGGATAGGGGCTCCGAAATAAGGATGGTAGCCTAATCGGCATGGAAGTCGGCAGTCTCACCTTTCGACCAAATTTTTACCATGTCTATTGGACGCCATAGTTGTACCCTGCAATGATTTGGGCTCATTTTGAGCTGCTCGCATCCGAAGATTCGTGATACCATTTGCAAAACGCTATAAGATCTGTATAAGCAGTAGAGCGTTTGAAGCAAAGCAATGTAGGATATGTTTAAAGTATTTTCAAAACTTTCTTTTGTTATGCCACTGGCAAGGTTACAGGATGAAGACTGGATCTGCACATCCTTCCAACGAAAGATCGATCACGGAAGGATACTAATTGATTTGTTTTGCTCATTAACACCTGTTTCAAACTCCCTAATTTCTGTAAAAACTATACTTCCGTAGATCTGCTGAAGCACGTGTCGTAATCAAGCAGCAATGGCAGCTGGTGGTCACCGACCACGTTACTTTCTGCAAGCTGAATGGCGTCCACACGAAATGCGGTATGTCCAATATTCTCCTTTGGTAGGAAAGGATCCCCAATCAGTGAAGTATTTCACGAATAGCTCTTCTAAAAAGGGCGATAGGGAGCAAACTACTGTTTGGTATACTTGCTTTGTGTGCTTT